ATAAAAAGGGAGTATAGTCAACTCCAGCTGACAATTCCTCCGTGAGGGGGAATAAGATAAGTAATGGTTCGGATTTGGATCGGCTTGGTTTAAGTTAGGTGTTTATTTACTTGGGTCATGAGGATGTTTTGTCTTTTAACTATATTAACTATAGAGAGAAGTTTTATTTTCATGCAATGTCATCAATTCTGTTTATTTGGACCGATTTTTAAATTGTGCACTTTAGTCTACTAATCACATAAGGGTTATGTGGAGATTTTTAAATGCTAAGGAGATAAAGTGCATTTGAGGTATAGCACAAGGAGGTAAAATGAACTTGGCCCTTGTTTTATTTTTTTCATTCTTTGCTTTTTTCCCAAAGCAAGACATTGTAATTTTGTAATTGGTTTTCAATTTTGAAGTATGAAGCTTGTATGTACTTGAGGAATCAGTCTGATGAAGGGTCCTAATGCTACTATACATGTTTCTTTTTCGGTGTCTACAGTAGCACATTTAATATGTGAAGCCTATTTTTTTCACAGCAGAATGAATTCATATATCATAATCTTTCAAAACAGAATTGTTGTGCATTTGTCATAATTTCATTGTTGTTTATGTTACCCATTTGTTATGATTTCAAATGTATCTCATTATACATGATCTAAGACATTAAAAAGATTATATGCCATAAAATACACGACTTAAATCCATGCCAGCATGACTTCATTGTCATCAGCATGTACTATCACCACCTCTAGTTCTCTGGTCTCTGTACCTTCTGTTTCTGAAGGGTGGACTTCTAGACTTGGTGTTTAGGTTAGTGCCATTCAGTCAGTGAGACAATTATTATCTAAGTTTTCCTCTCTCTCTTTGTTTTTTTGTGGTATCCTTAATTGATGGTGCTTCTATGTAACCGTTGGTCAATTGCTTTTGACTGTTTAGAAGATTTCCTGGTGNACTCAATTCAACTTAGACAATTATTAGTGCCATTCAACAACTTATATATGCTTCTATGTAACCGTTGGTCAATTGCTTTTGACTGTTTAGAAGATTTCCTGGTGAGACTAGTTTAAATATACAAAGCTATATCAATGCTCATTGCTTCAAATCTCATGACTTGTTAATGATGCCTGTTAACTAGGAGAAAAGCGACGACGGCAGCGAGGAAGATGACGACGAAGACGATAACCCGGAGGACAATGCCTGAACTCCCTTGGTTGGGTTTTTGTTCCCCAGTTTTGCTCATGGCAATGTTGGACGTAATTTCCTGTTGTTGCAAACTCTCTGCAAGCACTACTGTTTGGTGACTATAGCTAACGAAATGCTGCCATGAATTTTTGACTGATAGTATAATTAGCCTGTTTTATGGTCAGTTACCTTCTTGCTGCTGTTATGCTATTTTTTGGTTTCATGTTTTCATTGGTGCTTTTTATGGGTTTATCCATTTTAAAAGGGTGACAAATGTGAAGCTCTTGCGGGCTTATCCCAGTGGATGCTAAGCTTCCTACAGAATATGAGTGTAGGGGTGGGGGTGGGTAGGGGTGGGGGTATTGGGGATTATTGACAGAACTGATTAAAGATGATTCTATCAAGGCCAATAATTGCACCAATGAATAAGAGTTATATGATCCAAATAATCCACAGCCCACGGTAGGGAAAAGAAGGATTAGTTGATTGACGGTAAGTCTCTGGGATTCCATTAGGTTAATAAATTATGTCAACAAATTATGTTTAAATATTATTATTGATAATAATATCATGGAATATAATGTAAGTTATAGAATGATAAAAGAGGTTACATGTAGTCTAGACTCGAGTGCTTATGATGATTTCAGGCCCCAAATAGGGTTTACCATGTTGTCTTTTAAGTCGTATTGTTTTGATAACCATATGATTAACCATGATGGGGTAACAAGCTTATTACTTAGAAAGTATATTACCACGTAGCCCCTCTTCCTCTAAAAAAAAATTAAAAGCACAATCAAATTCGAAAAATATCAACTTGAAATCTCTATTCACTTNAACCCCTCTTCCTCTTAAAAAAAATTAAAAGCACAATCAAATTCGAAAAATATCAACTTGAAATCTCTATTCACTTTGACCAGGGCTCCTATTTTTATTTTTTTTTATCAACGTTTAGGAGTATTTAAATTAAATTACATGTATCTTGATTAATGTTCTCGTAAGTCTAGTCAAAGACAAATCATTTATATTAGGATTAAGATATTCATTCATGACTTGACCTCAAGAGATTGTCAAAATTTGAAGAGCTCTTGATTTTATCACATAAACAAAAGAACAAAAGGCACCAAGAAATGCAGCAGGGTATCTGCAAAGTTGGTCAATTGTCCCACTCTTAAATAGGCAAAACTGGTGTATTTGAAAATGAAGATCAAAGTGGGGGGCAATCAAGGAGTAATACAATCTACTCGACCAACAAATTAAAGGGTTAATTATACCGCGCGGTCCTCAAAGTATGAAATTTGCCTCATTTTAGTCCACAATGTTTCAATTACATCATTTTAGTTCCTGAAGTATTAAATATGTTTCTCTATGGTCCTTTAAACAAACAATATCCATATTGCTAACGATTTTTTATCATAAACTTGTCACGTAATATTCAAATATAGACANAGCCCCTCTTCCTCTAAAAAAAAATTAAAAGCACAATCAAATTCGAAAAATATCAACTTGAAATCTCTATTCACTTTGACCGGGGCTCCTATTTTTATTTTTTTTTATCAACGTTTAGGAGTATTTAAATTAATTTACACGTATCTCGATTAATGCTCTTGTAAGTCTAGTCAAAGACAAATCATTCATATTAGGATTAAAATATTCATTCATGACTTGACCTCAAGAGATTGTCAAAATTTGAAGAAGAGCTCTTGATTTCATCACATAAACAAAAGAACAAAAGGCACCAAGAAATGCAGCAGGGTATCTGCAAAGTTGGTCAATTGTCCCACTCTTAAATAGGCAAAACTGGTGTATTTGAAAATGAAGATCAAAGTCGGGGGCAATCAAGGAGTAATACAATCTACTCAACCAACAAATTAAAGGGTTAATTATACCGCGCGGTCCTCAAAGTATGAAATTTGCCTCATTTTAGTCCACAATGTTTCAATTACATCATTTTAGTTCCTGAAGTATTAAATATGTTTCTCTATGGTCCTTTAAACAAACAATATCCATATTGCTAACGATTTTTTATCATAAACTTGTCACGTAATATTCAAATATAGACAAAAAAATAATTTAGATAACTCTTGACCAAATTTTTACTCAAATTTTATTAAATAACTATCTAAATTACACAGTTTTGATTATGAGCTATTCAAATTTTGGTCAAAAACTATCCATATTACACATTTTTTTTGTCAAGAGCTACCCAAACATTGTTTAAGAGATTAAAATTATTTTTTTGTCTATATTTAAGTATTATGTGGCAAGTTTATGATAAAAAATCGTTAGCAATCTAGACACTATCTGCTTGAGGAACCATATAGAAAATATTCAATACTTCAAGGATTAAAATGATACAATTAAAACATTAGGGACCAAAATAAGACATTCTATATTAATCCCAAATTAAAATAATCTCCAAGGTTTTATAGATCTGTTTGACTCATAGCTTGACCTTATTACGTCGAAACTTTTCCAAGGACAGTACCAAAAAGTTTCTTAGAAAGATCCTAAAAGCCAACTATAACCGAGTGTCGCACCAAGAAANACTCATAGCTTGACCTTATTACGTCGAAACTTTTCCAAGGACAGTACCATAAAGTTTCTTAGAAAGATCCTAAAAGCCAACTATAACCGAGTGTCGCACCAAGAAANTCGGGGGCAATCAAGGAGTAATACAATCTACTCAACCAACAAATTAAAGGGTTAATTATACCGGCGGTCCTCAAAGTATGGAGTTTGTCTCATTTTAGTCCACAATGTTTCAATTACATCATTTTAATTTCTGAAGTATTAAATATGTTTCTGTATGGTCCTTTAAACAAACAACATTCATATTGCTAACGATTTTTTATCATAAACTTGTCACGTAATATTCAAATATAGACAAAAAAATAATTTAGATAACTCTTGACCAAATTTTTACTCAAATTTTATTAAATAGCTATCTAAATTACACAGTTTTGATTATGAGCTATTCAAATTTTGGTCAAAAACTATCCATATTACACATTTTTTTTGTCAAGAGCTACCCAAACATTGTTTAAGAGATTAAAATTATTTTTTTGTCTATATTTAAGTATTATGTGGCAAGTTTATGATAAAAAATCGTTAGCAATCTAGACACTATCTGCTTGAGGAACCATATAGAAAATATTCAATACTTCAAGGATTAAAATGATACAATTAAAACATTAGGGACCAAAATAAGACATTCTATATTAATCCCAAATTAAAATAATCTCCAAGGTTTTATAGATCTGTTTGAATCATAGCTTGACCTTATTACGTCGAAACTTTTCCAAGGACAGTACCATAAAGTTTCTTAGAAAGATCCTAAAAGCCAACTATAACCGAGTGTCGCACCAAGAAAATAAACTTGAACTGGATTAAGCGAGCGAAATGAAGGTCTAGACTTTCAACATCATGACTATTGTGCAGCTACTCGTTATTCTTGCTGAAAAGAGAAGAAAGAACAAAAAGGGCCAGATTTTCATTCAGACTAAGAATGTGTTGCACCAAACTAGGCATACATACTTTGGGGAAAAAAATTATGGCTACATTTCCCCGAGAAATCTAATGCGTTTTGAAGCGCTTTAACATGGACCAAGCAGCTAGTATAACAAGTATGTCAAAAATACTTCACCTAAGTAGAAAATAAGGATCAAAACCCTCCCAGAGGGAATCATCTTCCCTGGACTTGTTGATCAAATAATAGTCAACAGGAGCACCGATCATTTTTCCATGCAACTTGACTACTAATGAATACAAATTAGAAATTTGGGGGTTTGTAAGAAATGGACCGATAATCTCTCCAAGTTCAACAACATCAGATACTAAAGACTTACAATTCTCAGGTTCCCCATTGANGTAGCACCGATCATTTTTTCATGCAACTTGACTACTAATGAATACAAATTAGAAATTTGGGGGTTTGTAAGAAATGGACCGATAATCTTTCCAAGTTCAACAACATCAGATACTAAAGACTTACAATTCTCAGGTTCCCCATTGAAGATGCAGTTTGATAGAGCATAAAAGCCAAGCAAATTTGCATACAGCGGCAAAAAGGCGTCCTTGTGATTACCCACACCGCCAATCCAATCAACTCCTCCGTGTTTGCTAATATGGTCATTGGCAAATGACATCAACTGTTGGCAAAATCTCATTCTCCATCTATGTAAGAACTCTCTGGCCTCATGTTTGTCAAAAAAATCAACAGCCCAAGATTTTGAAATTGAAATTTGCTCCAAATGGAAACAACAAATTTGACTGATTAACAGCTTTTCTTCATGATGGTTATCAATCTCCTTGTCAAAGACCCGTCTCACAAGATCTCCTCTCGATACAAGAGAGTTTGCAGTAGTCAGAACCCACCGAGAAAGATAATCAAAGTAATCAAGCCAGTGACCAAAGATTGAAGAAAGGTGATCAAAACTCAATTCAATCACTTTCTCCACTTGGCTACGAACCACTTCAGCCCCAAAATTTATCCCCGACTTCTTCACCGTAAAAGACTTCTGAACATTCATGGCAAGCCACCTCCTCAGCCCAAAATCCTCATCCTCCAGAAGCTTAATGCACGTCAACCATATATCTAGTATTCTATGAGCATACATATTAACAGGATCCGTTTGTAAAAATTGAGAACACTGATTTTCAGATGGAATTTGGTTATTGAAGACAGAAGAACTGATAAGCTCAGCTTGTTCCAGCAAACCAGAAGCTACCATTGATTCTGCTGCCGCTCTCCGCTTGTTTACAGGCTCTGACGGGTCACTGTGTTGTTCAATTAGGTTGACAAAATAACTGATGCAATCATATAAGTGGGGCAATCTCTCGCATTGATCAGATTGGCTGAATTCGATCATTGTCTTCTTCCCTAGGTCAGAAAGAACAGAGCTCATAAACAGATCTGTGAACCGCTTTGCACATACTCCCATGCAGCATATGAGAGCTTCTTGAGTTTTTGCATGTCTTGTGATCTTGTATAAGAAAACTAGCTTATCCCAAAACTGGAACACTGAATCACCATCCATATTCCCAAGAAATCTTGTTTCTCGGCATTTTTGACTGCTCATTTTCTGAAATTGCAGCAAGTTCCAAGTAAAAAGGATTTTTAGAATATAATATGTACATCTATGGTTCTTCTCCAATGTTAAAAGTTTCATCAACATCTCCTGGAGATTAGCATTGGCCCAGCGAATTAAGCTAATCTCACAGGCAGCTTGATCTCGGTGAGCAAAACCAGATTTTGCCATCTTCAGGAATAGAAGTAGCCATTTTAATGTCGCAATTCTAACCTCATATGATATATCTGACAGGGACAGTATCAACCTTTCCTGAAATCTACTAGTAAAAGAGTTATCCATTTCAGATATTCTCAACAGATTCGGTGCAGTTGGAGGACATGCCCATGGCATCTGGAAATCTTCTTCAGCTGCTTCTTTAGAAGCTTGAAAAACACAATTGAAATATGAAATTGCTGCTTGTTTGCGAAGTTCTGCTACAGTCGGATCATAATATGATGGCCCAGGAGAATCTTCCAAATCTAGGCATTCTGAAGATAACTCCCAAAGGAGTTTCCAAACGGCACCAATACTTATGCTTACCTGGCATGTTCGCACAATATTGAGCATGTTATCTAGCACCTTTAAGAAAGAGGCATTGAGGATGGGGCAAGGGCACAATCTAGGGCTACCAATCCATGATCGTGACACAAGAACTTGGATCAAGTCATCGAGGATCTTGTCTTTCTTAGAGAAATCAGCTAGATTTCTACAATTGATATCCAGAAGAGAGCTTAACTGTAATAGCATTCCATGAATTGAATTGAAAGAAGCATTAAATGAGCTGGATGGATAAGGAGCCACAGTCATGGTGTTCTTCATACAAGGCAACTCAGAGGCAATACTGAGCAGGAGAACTGGAAGTTTCTCATTAGATACTAATCCTGTCAAAGCTCTTGATGCAAAAACACGAACCCGAAGATTGCTTTGAATTGAGCATCTCCTGATGAATGGCATAAACAGGAAAGGGTCCAGTGCATCTCCACTTTCACTGGTGATTGGTGAAGGCTTGAGTCGAGACAAGAGAATTAGCATCGGACACAAGCTTGGATGCACAACACGGGCAAGGTTGGATTCTAAATGTTCAGAGGGGCCATCTTTAAGCAAATCAGTTGCAACTTTCAGTTCATTACATAAGAAGGGATGCAATGAGGGGTACCTTAAGACAAGAAAAATTCAACCAATTGTTACCCAAGGAAAACATTGCGCTATATATCTTGATATTATAAGCAAGAATGCATGCTTTGGAGAGCCGTAAGATTGCATTCTTGAGAAACAGGATAAAGGTGACGGGTTCTCTTTCACATTTCAAGGCCACCAAATTAATTGCCACAAATCAATCCTTCAAGTCAATATATCCAACAGCCACCAGCAAGTTAAACATGGAAATAAAAAAATATTAACCACCATAACAAAATTGTTCACATCAGCTGGTATGATATATCAAATTATCAATAGTATATACAGACGCATTAGATATACAAATAGAAGTAATATTATGCTTAAGATGTTGGTTATACTGATGTTCTTCTTCTTAGTGCCTTCTAGCTCCAAAACCTAATATCCATAGTAATCAGAATCGGATCGGACATCAACCCCGACAGAGGGACAACTGGTCGTATAATTACAAAATATAAAATAATTAATAATAGTATTAATATGCTATATGTTATGAGACTATTAAAAAGAATAGTAAATAATCAAGCCATTTAAATCCCACATGGGATAGTCACATGAGAAGGGGAGCAATAAGGCCTATAAAGAGTTCAACACTTCCACTTCAGCCCCACAATCCCACACCAGTCAGCCACAAAAAAATGAGAGCAATAACAGCCTATAAAGCTTCCTTCAGTCTCTCCAATCAACACGTGCACTTGTGTACGAAGCCTTATCATCAGGTGGACCATGGCGATATCAAGCCTACGCTAACGTAATAGTTGTTCTTTAAAAATTGTTGACCCGTCCGGTTGAATGAACCGTCCGGTTCATGCGGTTTTGTTAAAAATTGTTGGTTTAAGTGGTTTTAGCCAGGTTGGTTACATAAATGATCCATTTAATGAACCGGCTCAGCTTAGGCACTGTTTGAGCAGTTTGCAGGGTCAACCGTCGGTCCGGTCAGGTTTTAATAACATTGCTAATATCTAAATCGTTTTTTGGTGTTTAACAATACTCAATAACCTCATTTGTAACCCCTTTTATCACTGGAAAAGTTACATAAAAGCAGTAGAGCAAACTTCCATCCCTTTGTAACTCCCAAATTCTTCAATAAAAAGAATACACTTTGACTCTTTACAGCATTATCTTATTTCAGATAAGCCAAACAAACGCCTCATAGGCTGCAATCCAAATTGAATGGAGACTGGACGGTGAACTAAATTTGACCAAATCAGCCTAGTGCATAATTGAACACAACAAGACATGGTCAAATTCCTAGATGACTTCCTCAGCTTGCATACTCATCGGCGACATCGAATCAATGGCCAAGAAATCAAGGGAAAAATATACTTTTGTTGTCATAGAAACTTCTAAAGTCAGGTTTATTCGAAAAGGAGAATACACCTTTCATAAAACCAATTGATAAGGCTGCTGCCTACACCACCTGGTCTAAGACTCTAAGCTACCAAAACTGTAAAAACTCAAATTGAATCTCAACGCCAAAGAATTTGAAACTGGTTTAGCTCGATAAAAGAGAACATCCTCACTACTACACTACAAAATTATATTGTAAAGTTTTTTCTCTTTTTTTCTCCTTTTCCCCATATGATGTGCAATATGCACAGTCAATCAAGAAGCACTTTATAAATAAGCTCAAATCATTTTAAACGTATGATAATAGACATTCCAAGAAATAAAATATGAAGGATGAGGAATAAAAAAGTTGGAATTTCAACATGAAGTCATACTCTTCAATAGCTGGCAAACTATGTAAGGCTGTAAGCAGTATGTGGAATGAAAAATGAAAATTTGGTATTGAACTACTCAAATTTCTGGCAGTTGGTGGACATGTAAATCCATGAATGCATTATCCACAACAAATGATCAAAATTTTGTTTCTTTTCAACCGAAACGGCGGAAACGTTTCCGTTTCCATGTATACCGAAACAAATCAAGAGTGAATTTGGAAATGAAACAAACAATGTTTCATAAATAAAATTTATATATTTCTCTTCTGTTTCAATTTTGTTTCAAAAATGCTTCTGAAACATTTTTGTTTCCGAGCCGACCGAAATTATGCCCCAAAACGAAATTTTGATCCTTGATCCACAGTAGACAAAACAAAAAGACTATACACAAATGAAGCTTACCTATGAAAAAATTCAAGCCCAGTTAATGCCCGCCTTGCAGATTCTCGCTTCTGTACGTTAAGAAACCCAATCATGCGACGAACCAAGGCAGTGTATGCAAGACAAGCACTGTTCCGCACCTCCCAGTACGAAGAAGAGAAAGAGCGAATTGAGATAATCAAGGCCTCAGCAGAAAAACTTGATGTATCAGTTGCCAGGTTGGTATCATTGAAAGCTGCTCTCAGGACATTGAACGCATGCACGGTGGGAACGACACCCTCATCTCGAATCTTTGAGATCCTTTCATTCATATCCATCTCAGGTTGCAGTGTGGAAACAGTTGCTTGGTTTGACACTGTTGAAAAACCATGGGACAACACACTGTCTGACCAGTTCATTTCACTCTGAGCTATCAAAAAATTGTTAGCCACATCTACCAGCCATCTTAGTGCCCTTGGGAGAAGCCTCTTTGGTGTACCTTCTGGCTCCGAGAGAAAAAAAGCAGTGAATGCAGCAGGAATACCTGCACTTCTCCTTAGTAGGTCATCCACTTTTTGTCCCTTGACCACTGTTCTTGCCATTAGTTGCTCCATCCAAGATTCTGTTAGTTTACAAAGTCTGAGAAAAGAGAGACAGCCTCAGCACATGAATCTATAATGTCCATATTCCTCTATCTGCACTGTTAATGTTAGAGTTTCCCATGTAATGATTAAAATAAGCAAACTCCAGACACAAGAAAGGATAGGTTTCTTATAGACTAAAAAATATATTCAAATTCAAATTGATCAAATAGGAAGCGATATGTCTGCTACTCATAAACAAACTAGGAGCAATTAACCATCTGAAATTTTCGTTTCCGCTTGCTTGCAGGGAGAAAGAATCTGCAACAATCCAGACCAAGTACAGAAACAGAAAGATATGTTTCTTTCCCTACTTTTGGTTAAGAAGAGGAAGGATTGTTCTATTATCATTAGCTAATTTTTGTCAGGTTGAGGGTGGGGAAAGAAATCAGAAAGATAGCACAAAATAGGTATCTGCACATGAGTAAGGAGGATGATATAGTGTGCCAAACTTTATGATACCTGTGAGGAACGAAAGCAATAGATTGAAACAAACTCCTCGAAAAATCAATGCAAGAAATGGATGCTACTTTGATGGATGAGAAATAAGCATTATGTGTCCATGTCCTTTAACAACAGAAAATCAGAGTTCTCAATGATCTCGCAAGCTCGTACTACCCTTTCTGTAAAGAAGTGTCACTGCAGAAATCCGCAAAGAGGTTCAAGTTTGCTTGGTTTAATTCATGATGAAATCAACCCCCTTGGCAAATTCCATTAAAGATCTCTTAACTTTTTTCTTCTTTTCAAGGCATACATATTGTATATAAAAATAGCAATCTCCAAAATCTGGCATAATGTGTCTTAATGTGACTTTTTTAGAACTGGAAATTTAACTAAAAAATCAAAGAACGAGAATAAAAACTGAAAAATTCAAGAACAAGTGAAAATAAATTATGCTAGTCTAGAATTCTTTATAACAAAGGTAAGCCTTCCTAAAATATCCCAGCTTAGAAATTAGCAAGTCAGGAAACTGCACTAAAAAATTCTTGAAAGCAAGCTAGAAGGATTCCAAATGAGTGCCGTCCAAAGGGCAGAATGGCATCAGCTGAGACAAACTGTCGAAAATGGAGCACCTCAATGGTCAAGAAATCTTTTGATCAACCAATAGCAGTGGCAGTCTTTTTCCTTCTTCAGTTTGTTCTCTTTCCCCATAGTATCAAGAACAACATTTTCAATGAGAATGGGATAAAGCCATGCAAGTCATACCTTTGATGTTAAGATGCTCGTTCCTACTGCAGAACACGATAAATATTCTTTTTTCTACCAGATAACAGTGACATTGGGTTTCCTTTCTGTTCTTTCCTCGAAATTTTGAAATCCACTTTTTTAATGAGAATGGGATGAACTCGTGCAGTCATATGCTACATGTCAAGATGTCTGACAAAACTTGGCAGTTAAGAACATAGCTTCTCTTTTTGTTCGTAAGCTTAGGAGTGCAATCAATATAAGATCCAAAAGCACCAATTTACATAGTTGGAATCATTGTAAACATACCTTGGATCGTTTGAACAAAGTAAGCGGTTGCAAAGGGCGGTAAATCCAGCCCTTGTCTTATCAATTGCACCATTATGCTTCATTTTCAGAAGGACTTCCAAGAAGTGGTTTCCAATGGTCTCAAGTTGTGTTAATTCGAGCATTACATCAGATGTTATGGCTGTGACACAAATGGAATCAGAAATTCGGCCCTCAGACTTTGATTTGTCTGAAGTAGGCTCTGACTTTGATTTATCTGAAGTAGGCAAAGGAATTTTTCTGATGATTGTACCCAGGAGAAGACTCACCTGAAAACAAACTAAATAAATTAAAACAACCTTCTATGAACATTTTTTGGTGCCAATGACTCATCTAATCTAACAATCCTGAGTTTAGACACATTGACTATGAAATTGTCTTTCATTCTATTTGTTTAGTATAATTTAAGGCTGCCATTTTCTGGGCAAATGGTGGTATTTGTTTCAGTTCCTAACTATAAGCAAAAGAAGCCACCAGCAAATGACGTTTACAGCATCATAATCATTATTAGATGATCTCCATAAATAAATAAAAAAACTTCGCAAACAAAATAGTGGAACTACCTCTTTCATTGCAAGCCAGCAACCAACCATAACAATCTGCTCTGATGGTCCAACATCCTGCACAAGTTTTGCATTTTTAATCTCATGCTCTGATGCAGGCACAGAATCATCCATCACATCTGGGACCTCCAGTGAAAAGGCATCATCATCCACGATGTCATCCATGTCCTCAGGTAAGTACAATGCATCTGCAGAAACCACCCAAAGAGCCATTGAAGTTATTCGCATGACCAACTCCAAAAGCTTCTCCATCGAATGTTTCATATCAGAAATACTGCACAAAACTGCCCTAGAATTCCAATCCAGTTCCTCAAATGTATAACGAAGAGTAAGCAATACACCATGAACAAAGCTGTTCTTGCACGCTTCAGCAAGATCCTTCTCTCCTTCCTCCACAGCACCATGCAACCAATCGATTAGTGATCTTACGTATTCAATTGCTGGAGAGATAGATGTACAAGTTGGATAATCCTCATTAAGAAGTTGGGACTGTGGATGAAAAATAACAACATTACATGAAACTCTGACAATCCACCCGAGCTCCACGACATATTTCCTAAATATAAGCCGTAACATCAGAGCTCCAGCATCACTTTCTCTAACACGTGGACTACAAACTAAGTTCTTGGCCCATATGATTATTTCTCGCACCATGTCTGGGCTTGAAATGCCAGGAAGTGGGGTAGGAAAATGCAAGAGTATGCGAAAAGAACTCTGTCTCAGTCTGTCCCAACTATCAATAATTGAACCGACCAACAGCAGAGTTGAATCAGGAAAAGTAAATCCTTTACCATACGGATTGAGAATGATTTCAGAAGAAACAGAATCACACTTTCCCTGTGAATGAGGTAAAATAGACCAAACATTTAGCATTATCAATATGAGCTCCATAGCCATTATTTTTCTCTCATATGGAGCAGAAGGATAGCATGAGAAAAACAAAAAGCAACTCAACCACTTCATAAAGTGAAAGAGATCATCGGCTCTGTTAACTACAGATTCCTCTTTAGGGGCAAAGACTTTATTATTGCCTTCAAATGCAAGTGGTAGCCAGCTTCCTTGCTTAATTTGTCTCTCCAAGGCTGTCCGCACCCGAGAAAAAAACTTTCTAAACAAGCTGGCCCACTTCATCTGAAAAGCAGTTGAGCAACACCTCATGTTCAAAGGCACTGCTTCTTTCATCAATATGAGCTCCAAAGACGATGGCAGACTGGATGTCTTAGGGTTTAGGAATAGAGATTCTGCTGCATCTATACGGAGGGAATCATCAACATGGGTCAGTGCCAGTACTAGCCACTTGACCAGGACTTTAACCTCGATCCCCTTTACGCAGACAACAGCATATTGATCAGTATTTCTACTTTTCATCCCTATATCTTCCTTGGGTACTGAAGATTTCTCACACCAATCAATGTCTCCTTCAATCAAAGCAAGCAAGCGAGAAACCTTGAGCAGAGAAACTAAAAGAGCCACTTGCTGTTCAACTCTCAGAGTTACATCTCTGCAACTGAGCTCAGAATAAACAAGTTCAGAGTCGTCTCCACCATGCCCAACTCCACCAAAAGCAAGCATTGGAAATATGCTATCCACATCCACTTCAAGTAACACGGGCAAAGCATAAGTATTCAAATTTGATCGGAGCTTTGAAACTCCAGAAGCAAGTCCATACGAGAAGGGAGGCAAGCAATGACTTCGATACTTTGTATACCCAATTTGAATGCCATCACTATTCCAACACTCATCACGCAAGCATTCAAGAAAACACTTTAGAAATGTTGTGACCGCACAACACACGTCATCGTCAATATATGCCTGCGTTGTTTCAAAAAGCAAGTCAGGACTCATATTTAGAATAGTCTTTGCTCCCAACCTCTTTGTCATGGAAGCCAAAGGAACATATCTGCCCTTGCAACGTGGTCCCAGGCGAAGAAGATCAGATGCAATCTTCCAAAGGAATAACTTAATTCTCTCACTACCTTCTGCCAAATTCAGGCTAGAATGAATATCCAAGAAGATATCAAAAATGAGATGAACTTGTTTGACAGTCTGACTAAGAGGATCTTCCAGGTTATTCCATATTATTCGCAATATCCGAGGCACCATGTCCTCTGACATTGGATCATAATTTTCTGTGGCTTCACCAGGATTACCTTGTATCAATGTCTTTATCTGTTGCAAGCATATCTGCATCACAGTTAGTGCATGGAAGTTAAAATGACTATCACTTGGGTTCTCACAATAGTTACACAGCTCAAGCAAAATCCCATCATAAAGTATTGTCTGAACTGAGCTACTACTACTATCTCCATGAGTTGATACAGCAAAATGGGTGTTTAGCACTGCTCTTGATACTGCTGTCAGAATTCCTCTCACCAAGCAAAGTCTACTTAGTTCAGATAAATTGTGGATTTCTGAAACCAAGTCCCCCTTAAATGGAACTTTCAATATTGCATCCCCAACTTCGCTCTTGAAACTAACAACTTTTTGATAAAAAATCCTTTCCATGATTACCAAACCAAGCTCCTCAGGACTGAGACAAGCTTGTAAGGCTGCACAAAAACCCACACCTGCAGCCACTAAACAGTCCCTAGAAAATGCCATGGATTGCAATATGCTCAAAATGGTACTCACAATCATCTCCAAAACACTTGAATTTGCAGGGATTAAATTATTCTGAAAACCACTCAAATCACTGAACTTCAACGGAAAACGTTGCAGCAAATAGTACATACAAGACAGAGCCTCTTGACACTGTTCCATAACTACTGGCGAAGGCCTAGACCAGTCATTAGTCTCCGAGACCACAGAATTTAGTCCAACAACTATATCTATACCCACCAAAACCGCACATTCCATGACGATCTCCACCAAGTACCCCAACTTAGGTGAACTCATCATCGATAACGCCACTCGTGAAACACAAAACCTATTTCCTTTCTCTTTCGCATTAGCACCACCATATTCCTCACAAAGTAACCGGAAACAATTCCCAATTGAACATTGAGAATTTTTACATTTTGCTAGAACAGCAACCATAGCTTTATGTAAAGGCATTGAATTCTCGAGAAAAAGAATTTCCAAGTAAAACTTCGCGGCCATCGAAATGGAATCGTCGCCGGCAGTACTTTGTAAGTTTTCAAAAGCTGAAGCTACTCTTTTGACGTGATTGACTTGGGAATATATCGAATTGAGAGAAATGAGTTCTTTTAGTTCTGAGTAGTAGTTGGAAGTAGATGGGTCTACAGGTGTTTGATTCAATGCTTCTGTGAAGTATTGAGGAAAAATGACAGCGCTGTACGTGTAGCGATGGCGATGCTGTAGAGCTCGCCATTTCGCAGACATGGTGGGGTTCAGTGTGTTTTTGTAAGTGATTTGGAGATAGAGATGGACAAAACGTTACCTACTTGGACCTGATGTTTTAGAGCTGCCCTGCTTTTTGCCGCGGAAGCTCGATGACGGCATAGAAGTACGACAATATGGTGCTTTCTTCTTTCTCTCTCCCTATTTTGGCGAGAGGGAGAGGCGGCTAGTGCAGAAGCAGAGAGGGGTTTAAGAGGGTAGTCGTCGTAAATAAGTTCGAGATTTTACGGTGTAAAAGTAAGAGCAAATCTCATAAATGCCTCCCTAAATTACAAAGGAAGTATTTAATTCATTTTATTTTATTTTTTACATAAACGGACCGTTAAATTTTTAACAAAATAATTACGTGTTGGACACGTGATATCGCCTTGAAAAATAACACGTAGTCATTTTCCTTCAAAAAAAAACTCAACGAATTATTTAATTAAAAATTAAAGTGACATGAATTGAATATTTTAAAAATCAAATTGATACAACAAAAAATGTTATTTATTCTATTTTAAATTATCCCTTAAAGTTGAAATTATCCCNCACATCTCCAACATCTTCCTTATCTCCAGCATCATCGTCATCGTCGCTCCCATACTCATTCTCATCACCACCCTCCTCTTCGTCATCATCATTATCATCGCTAGAGCCTCCCACCTCAATAATTGTAGAAGTCATGGGAGCAGAGGTAGAAGGTTAGGCCGGAGGTGGCAGAGGTCTACCAGGGATGGGCTCCCTGAGAAAGTATGCTGGAAGAGCCAATCACTATCAATGAAAGTCCATGCATAGTAGTCTCCAGGGCATCCAAAAGCTGAGANATTTTAAAAATCAAATTGATACAACAAAAAATGTTATTTATTCTATTTTAAATTATCCCTTAAAGTTGAAATTATCCCAATTTATCTCCAAAACTATGTAATTTAGCTCAATCGATCCATTTTTTAAAATCTTAACGAAAGATCAATTAAGTTTTAGTTTCAATGATACTTTTTACCTTGTAAAAAACTATTTTTATAAAATCTAGGTTCAAGTCCTCTAGACTATAAAAAAATAGTTGATCGGTAGAACAAATCTTAATTTCTTGAAGACCCGTATTCAAGTCAATGGTTATGGGTTCGAAACTCCATCAAAAAGCAAATCNTCTTACCTTATAAAAAACTATTTTTATAAAATCTAGGTTCAAGTCCTCTAGACTATAAAAAAATAGTTGGTCGGTAGAACAAATCTTAATTTCTTTAAGACCCGTATTCAAGTCAATGGTTATGGGTTCGAAACTCCATCAAAAAGCAAATCCTAATTTACCTAATATATAAGTTAATAAACCGATTCATGCACCCAGAATTTGCCTGAGGTTCTATTCNGACACAGTGCGGGCTAGAGAAGAAGAAGAAGGTCTAGAAGATAATGGCCCCATAGAGGATGGCTCAGGTGCTGAGGCACTCGCTCGCTCATCCCCAGTCCTCGTTGCCCTCTTATTACTNTCCTAATTTACCTAATATATAAGTTAATAAACCGATTCATGCACCCAGAATTTACCTGAGGTTCTATTCAAATTCACAAGCTTAAGTGATTAAATCGCCCCTATCTCACCAATGACAGACAAAAGACTTCCCCCGTAATTAAAATAAATTATATACTTCAAAGAGTTTTAATAATTAAAACAATTGAAAATTTATAATTGCCATTTTTTGGAGAATTGATACAAAATGGTAATTACAACATAATACACATCATTAATTAAAAGGTAGGCGTTGATAGAGTGGATCGGGGCCACCTTCTTAGAGTACTTAGCTTGAGACATTCCACTTATGCAGCCCAAACTTTCAGACTTTTATATTCTGTGTCATAATCTCCGTATCCTCTTCATTTACTGTGGTTGTTAGCATAAAACTCATCTTAACTATCTTCAATTGGAAGCAACTGAACCTTATGAGTGCCAATCCCAAGCTGTTCAAAAAGAACTTGGAGATTTTTTTTTTTTTTGGAAAGAGAAAGAGGCATAGAAAACGTCCATTAAAAATAAATCTGACCTGCGGTAATTCAAGAACAATATTCCATCTTACACTTCATCCAGCCGAGGGCAAAAAGAACCCCAACAAAATGACAGAGTCACGCAACGGTGAGTGGTTTTCTTCAAGCCAGGTAACGATACAACTTCCTATCAACCTTGTCCCTCTCTAAAAATTCCCGCTCNCGGAGTCACGCAATGGTGAGTGGTTTTCTTCATGCCAGGTAACGATACAACTTCCTATCAACCTTGTCCCTCTCTAAAAATTCCCGCTCAATTAGAGACTCGATCCTTTTCTTTATTACAACTGGGTTTGGTAGGAATCTTGATTGCATCTGCTTTGTGACTTCAGCAACAATGTTATTGTGATCCAGCACCCGCCGAGACTTCATGATCCTCACTATTGCCGCCTCAATCTGGGGCTTCCTGTCCTCCTCCACTCTGTGCCGGGTTTCTTGCTTTTCTGGTTCAGACTCCTTTTGTGCAACAACAGTACCAATTTTTATCTTGTAGAGCTTGCTTGTGAATTTGTCATTGAAGAAGAAACTATCATCCTCAGAAATGTCCTTGCTCATGGGCTCTTTCCGGAGAACATTCTTCCCCTTAACACAGGCCAGAGACTGCAGGCACCTCTTCAAGTCGGATGCTGGTATCTCCATTGCCTGTTCGATTTCCCTATAACCATGCATATCAGCATTATTAAACAGCATAAGAATACACATCTGGTACGTGGAAACATTCAGCTCATGCTTTTGGCCTTTCCCAAATGTGGCTTTCAAATCAGCAGTCCCCATATTAGTTTGCCAGGACAATCTCCGCCCAGTATGGGTTCCAAGATAATATGTTCGGAACTTATCACACAATCCCAGGATTTCTGAAGGAAGGTTGCAAGGGGCACTCAACTGAGTTGGCCAAGATCCTGTAGTAAGGACCTGGATGGTTAGCATGGGGCCATCTGCTATCTCAGGACCCATGGCTGCATAGAACCCCTGCATTGTATCTTGGGAGGTCTTCATATCAGTGAACATACCTTCCAGCTTTGACGTAAATTGATACCCACATTCAGTTTTCAGCTTAACGATCAAACTTCTCTCTGCATCATCGGATGCAGTCTTCCCAGAAAGAAGCCTCTTTGCCAAATGTTGCTTGTAATACTTCTCAAACACATCTTTCTCTTGAAGGTAGCGAAAAAGCATCATCACCTTGTCTAGCACAATCTCCACATCCTCCTCACTAACCCCCTTCAGTCCTTTCCGGAGCTTATCATCCACAAACAAAGAAATGTACTCTGGTGATCGAGGATTCAAATTAATGAAATATTCAAATGAGGAATTCAAAGCATTCTGAAATGTCTTGTCATTGTTAAATGCAAAACTGATAATCTTGTCATGTTTATCTCTTTCATCCAAGAGTTGCTGCACGAAGCCTACCGGATCCTTTAACCTTTCTGTATCGGTGACTAGCTGCTTACCTATTTCCCGAATGTGAGAAGTCATAACATCTCTGAGAATTGAAAGTCCATTAGACACCCGGTGAAACAAGCTGTACATCCTTCCCAAATCATCATATTTGTCATCCATTATCATATTAACCAAGCCTGAGTTCTCCATATGGACCAATCTTGACATGTGATTTTCAATCATCTCCTTTTCCACCACCTTAGTTATCTTGGCTTCACTTGTTGCATCCAGGTAATGTGACACTCTCTCAATCTCTTCATTAAGACGTTTCTCAGCCTTCTTTAAATAATCCCCACAATCACAGCACTCGATGAACTGCTGAGATTCCACACGATAAAAATCAGCAGAGACTTCAATAAAAGGCTTCTCGAAGTCCTCTTGGTAAACAAGAGAACCTAAATCCATTAGCATTTTCATTATATTCCTCATCAGACCCCTGTTTATAATTTCGCCAGTCCTTTCTCCCCGGACAAGTTCAAGAAGCGTACCCCGAAGCCTCGCCTGGATTTTGCTAGAGTGGATAACATTGTCCCTCCACAAATTCAACCCAAGATCGTGTACTGGTGTTTTGTGCGTACTCGGGATAAAAGTCCTGTCCATGTACATTAATATATCTCGGATCATTTGCAATGCCTTGTTGTGGTCTGCCCATTTCCTGTTCAGCTCTTCCAGAAATGAAGCTCCCTGAGCAACCTCAATGGATTTTGATATTTCTTTTAGATGTAATGTCATAGTTGACACAAGTCCAGAGTAGAGCTTCTCTCCAAATTTGTGCAGCACCATATTATAAGCATTCCTGAAATACCATGTATCACAAGTAGGTAAAGAGCTTCCGGATGCAAAAGAAAAAGCCAATGGCTTCAATAGGGCTTTGCTATATGCAAGGCAGTCCATTGGTGCCATATGAGCTAAATAGCTAATGATTCAGATTGGATTCGAGTCAGATCACCACATGGTCAACAAACATTTGAGTGGAAAAACACAAGCTCCACAACTGCCATGAAATTGCTATAGAAAGCAAAGATAGATGATCACAGCCATGAGCTTACAGACACATATTGACCAAACAAAATGAATATGCATCACTGCATGGTGGCTTCCAGTCTTACAGCATTTCATCTCATTCACTCTGATATGGCCCAAATTCACTTAATTTGATATTTTTGGATTTTCAAGTATCTTAGTTCTAGTTATACAAGCGAGATCCTATAAACCAAAACCTAGGCATGTTGTTATGGCCAAATGAAAAAAAGTAATCTAAATGTGTATCACATGCATGCAAATGAGGCAGGCGATGGAAATTAGGTGTACTCCCATTGTAAAGCTCTTTCATCTAGTGCGCGATCATGACAGGACTTTGGGTCATCTTAGATAGTTAAAAACGTATCCTCTTTGGAAGCTCTAACTTGTAACATCCTGTAATGCTATCTTTCAAGACCAAAAATGACGCGGAATCAAGGTGAATGGGGAAGTTGATGGCTCAATAGAGTATATCAATCATAGGACCTTATACAGATTTGAGTGGCAAATAGGACTCAAATTTTGATTATGTTGAGACAGTCAATTACAAATAGAAGCAACGAACTACACCTTGCACTTACTTGCTCTTGCACATTGTTGCACAGAGTTTCAATGATAATGTTGTAGGCAAAATCATCATTAGTTATGAGAAATAAAGATCTATCAACAAACAAGTGTACCAAAGCCTAACAAAATGTGACATCTCAAGGGAATAGGATGATTCCCTCCCTTGGAATTCCATGACCTTCTTTTTTGATTTTTCATATCTCCAAACTCCACCCTTATTCCAAACACCAGTATATCATTGTAGGTTGTGAAGGGGGTCATTTTAGATTGTAAAGCATGCTAACTCTAATGTTTCTTCACATGTGGTTCTTTATTCGTATGTTCCAAGAGCATAAAGAATGTGGATAAAGAGAACTCTTTAAGGAATCAATATATGCTGAAGCATAGAAGCCTTTAAAACCTGTATATGGACAGTTAATTAAATTTAAAACAGTAGTGATGAGTAATTTTTAGTCCACCCTTTTTTGTTTATTAGAGGAATATATAAACAAAACAATGCGGAGCAATTAGTGTCTGTTAAGAGAGTATGTATTGCACATCAAATAATTATGATTGTCAAGGTTGGTTTATATACTTGAAGAATCACTCCACTCATTATCAACTGGTTTTAGGTTGGATGCTCTAACATGGTATCAGAGTTGGACCTTGTATAGTCAGTGGACCAAGTCGCTTACCCATTTGAATTTTCCGGTATGCATGGCTATTTGCTTGTTTGTTGACCCCATGTACGAGTTCGGGTCCCACGTAAAGAAGGGTGTTAAAAAAGATTGTATCTCATATCAAATAATTAGATCCATCAAGGTTGGTTTATATACTTGAAGGGTCATTTCATTCATTACTAATTGATTTTTGTATTGGATGCTCTAACAGTATCCATCATAGTATTTATTTCCAGCAACTTTTCCTTACAAAATAAGGTGCATATTGGGTTTGTTCTTGAACAAGTCAATTGATGGCAGATCAGAACGGCATGAATAAAAATTTGGGTTATGCATCAAAGATTCCTTCCCCAATTCATCCACCCAGTACTAGATCACCATTTTTATACAATATTGCAGAACCGCTAGCACCAATTTCTGAACAAAAACGTGCACTGACAGTTCAATTATACTTTTGCACAAGTACAAGGCATAAATAGAGCAATAAATGACGCATATATAGTGCATATGGCAGGTTCATAGCAAAATATAATGTCAAAATACAGTACAATGATATACACCAGAAACAAGCATAGTTTGGAGTCAAAGTTATGAAAGCAAAGGTTGACAACATAAGCAAGGAAAGGAGGAGGAGCAGGGGGAGGAGGACAAGAAACCTCAGCCACTAAATGAAAAACATACGTCAAAAAAGCATCTAAAAATGCATGGATCAGACATTGATATATAGATATATATAGAGAGAAAAGGTGGGGGGAAGAAAAGGCAACACATGATATAACTCAGGTACTAACCCTTCAGGCGAATTATGATTCTTCCGAGTTCTTTTATTTTTTTCCTATGGTAAATCATNAGCTCTTTAAGGAATCAATATATGCTGAAGCATAGAAGCCTTTAAAACCTGTATATGGACAGTTAATTAAATTTAAAACAGTAGGGATGAGTAATTTTTAGTCCACCCTTTTTTGTTTATTAGAGGAATATATAAACAAAACAATCCGGAGCAATTAGTGTCTGTTAAGAGAGTATGTATTGCACATCAAATAATTAAGATTGTCAAGGTTGGTTTATATACTTGAAGAATCACTCCACTCATTATCAACTGGTTTTAGGTTGGATGCTCTAACATGGTATCAGAGTTGGACCTTGTATAGTCAGTGGACCAAGTCGCTTACCCATTTGAATTTTCCGGTATGCATGGCTATTTGCTTGTTTGTTGACCCCATGTACGAGTTCGGGTCCCACGTAAAGAAGGGTGTTAAAAAAGATTGTATCTCATATCAAATAATTAGATCCATCAAGGTTGGTTTATATACTTGAAGGGTCATTTCATTCATTACTAATTGATTTTTGTATTGGATGCTCTAACAGTATCCATCATAGTATTTATTTCCAGCAACTTTTCCTTACAAAATAAGGTGCATATTGGGTTTGTTCTTGAACAAGTCAATTGATGGCAGATCAGAACGGCATGAATAAAAATTTGGGTTATGCATCAAAGATTCCTTCCCCAATTCATCCACCCAGTACTAGATCACCATTTTTATACAATATTGCAGAACCGCTAGCACCAATTTCTGAACAAAAACGTGCACTGACAGTTCAATTATACTTTTGCACAAGTACAAGGCATAAATAGAGCAATAAATGACGCATATATAGTGCATATGGCAGGTTCATAGCAAAATATAATGTCAAAATACAGTACAATGATATACACCAGAAACAAGCATAGTTTGGAGTCAAAGTTATGAAAGCAAAGGTTGACAACATAAGCAAGGAAAGGAGGAGGAGCAGGGGGAGGAGGACAAGAAACCTCAGCCACTAAATGAAAAACATACGTCAAAAAAGCATCTAAAAATGCATGGATCAGACATTGATATATAGATATATATAGAGAGAAAAGGTGGGGAACACATGATATAACTCAGGTACTAACCCTTCAGGCGAATTATGATTCTTCCGAGTTCTTTTATTTTTTTCCTATGGTAAATCATCCTAGCTGGTCCTCGACAGTTTGGTGACTGTTGAGAAAACAATACCAATACGATCTCTCAAAACACTACAAACACCTGCCTGATTTAAGATTCTAGGCTACCCAGAGCAAAATCTTTTAGACTGATTTGGTAGTCTAGTACTTAACATGAACCAACGAAAGAAGAAAGTTTTATAATCTCACAAGAAACAGCACTAACACCAACCAATATCTAGAAAGTAGAAACAAGGCTCAGAGGCTCCTCTTTAAGCCTTTGATGAATCCTTCAGTAAGACAACTTTGTCATAGTATTCAAGCAAGAATTTGAAATATGGTACTGATGCAATGAAGGTCCCATCTCACAAGGGAGGCAGTGCAAGTGGCATCAAGGAGGCAAAAGGTTATGATGGGTGAAGGTGAACTCTAGCAACAATGGAATTCATACAAACAATAAATGTATGTGTATATATACACACACCCAGACATAAATGAGGCCAATAATTAAAAGAGTGGCAAATTAGTGGTTATAAGATGTGATGGTGGCTATGAAGGCCGACGCAAATGACACAAGTCAGATACTCCTACATTGTAGTCCGACAAAGACAAGATAGAGTTACAAAAGCATTGTATAAGCATATCCAATATCTTCAGATTGCAGGAAATATTGGCTGTGGTATAAGACAAAGCAAATGGCAACAATGTGGCCAGAGTAGCAGCAGCATGTTAGTATTGGTGGTGGGCTGTTGGTAATAGAAACATATGTTCTAGACTTCTAATATGTAGGGGTCAGTAGCATATGTTTCACGAGCACGGATGTGCCTAGAGTTCTGGACTACTTGACTTTAAGTAGTACACATAAGCCAACAGAACGGTTGAGAAAAGGAGATCTATGTTTTTCCGAGGGATTCAAAGCTTCTAAAATTCATGAATCCATTGATTTCATAAAAAGGAGATCGGGATTCCATTTGAAGTTCTTGAAATTGAATCTTCATGCCTCACATTTCAAATTAAATATAGAACCTAGTAAAGGTCAGAGTCTACGTGATACACATATAAATGTTAAAACACAGAAACACAAACACATAAACACCCTCACAAATTCTTATATCAGTGGGTAATGAGCCAAATGGCTAATTTATGCTCCTATTCTTATTCATCTGTGCAACTCCTCACTGACAGATTCATTTAAACATACATCTTAATTGCATGGCAAACACTTTCCTCATATTGTGTTAAGACGAAAATTGGNTATATGCTCCTATTCTTATTCATCTGTGCAACTCCTCACTGACAGATTCATTTAAACTTACATCTTAATTGCATGGCAAACACTTTCCTCATATTGTGTTAAGACGAAAATTGGCACCATTATAACCCTATATTTCCAGATTTCATGTCAACAGCTCTAAAAATAATAGAAACATATAACCAAATATGCAGCATTAGACATTATAACAATTGAGCAACTGTTCACTCAGCAATGTGGTCGGACTTTCTTTGCTTTGAAAGCAAAAATCAAAGCAGTTTTTGCTTTTAAAAACATCAAATCATGCTATATATGTGTTCCTTCACTTTTTTGTTATGTGCTCAATAGGAAAATGGAATGCAAGAATTACAAGGTTTAAACAAGCAAACCTATAGAGCTCTTCAAAACTAAGCCCACTGGCGTTGTGATTGTATATCTC